CGATAAAATAAGTATGTCTCTCCTAAAAGAAATAATTCATCAACTTGCAAAGCCTCACATATTTAATCGCCCGTTATCACAAGGTGTTTTCCATGATGTATTAAAATAGCTAAAGTCAATCCCATTCTCAAAAAAGATGATCCCCACGAAATTGGTAACTATCGTCCAATTTCCCTACTTTTAAGTATATCCAAAGTCTTTGGAAAAAATCGTTCATAATAGGCTACATAAATTTATCACTAAACACAAAATACTCAATTCAAATCAATATGGTTTCAGGAAAAATTACTCAACTGACTTAGCATTGATTCAAATTTATGACAAAATTACAAGTGCCATAGCTAACAAAGAACATGTTATAAGTATATTATGTGACTTGAGTAAAGCATTCGATACGCTCAATCACGCTATTCTACTCTCCAAACTCAGTCATCATGGAATTCGGGGTCAGCCACTCTTATGGTTTAAAGATTATTTAACAAACAGAAGACAATATGTGACATTCAATAGTTATGATTCTGATCCTCTATTAATTCAATGCAGTGTTCCTCAAGGATCCACCTTAGGTCCACTATTATTTCTTCTTTATGTCAATGATATTATCAATACATCCCCCCTTCTTTCTTTTTTCTTATTTTCCGATGGCACAAATATCGTTTATTCTCATAAAGACCTTAATTCTTTAAACAATCCTTTGAATTATGAAATTAACAGTAGCAAACTGGTTTAAGTCCAATAAACTTTCTTTTAATACAAAAAGACCAACTTCATGTATTTTAAACACCATTCTCATAAATACAGAAACACCGATATATACATATAAGAATCAATGATATGCTACTAGAGATGAAAACTAAGTCCGAGTTTTGGGGAGTACTTATAGATGAAACTTTGACTTAGAATGAGCATTTACACCACGTTACAATGTGCATTTCCAAAAATAATCTCCGAGCTAAAGTTTATTCTTCCCCATGCAACCTTATTCCTACTATATAATACACTAGTTCTCCCGTAACATATTGTAATATTATATGGGCAAATTGTGGTTCGACAAAAAATAATTCTATTTTTAAACTGCAAAAGAAAGCCACACGTATTTGTACAGATTCGCATATCTTAGCTCACACTGATCCTTTTTCCTATAAACTTAAAACACTAAAAAAAAAAAAAAAAATCAGATTTGAACACCATTCAAGTAGCAGTTATTAAGTATATTAATAATCATCTTCCATCATCTTTTGATAACATATTTAGGTTTAGTAGTTTTGTTTATTCATACCCTACTCGCATATCTGGAAACTTCCATCTTACAAATCCCAAATTATCAATAACACACACACACACACATCTTTTAGACATTCTAGTACGGAAATTTGGAATAATATTTTCCCGACAACCTAAAGTCTTGTTCAGCCATCTACTCCTTAAAAGCTACACTTAAACGATAAATAATACAATAATACGCTCCCCACTCTTTAAATTAGTATGATAAAACCGTGACTTAATTTATTCTTTATCATGCAACTGCTTTCTGCACCTGCACTTGCACTGCACCCACTTGATCACTCAGTTTTCCCAAGAGAGTTATGTCGCCAATCCTATTTTTATGAGGCCGTCATCCATCCCCAGCCTAACCGCTCACGACGGTGGTCCTCTGCGTTCTAAATTACCTCTCTAATTTATTGAAAAATACTTATTATATTATAAGGATTATAATACGAACCATTTATATAGCGCTTGTGACATAAAAGTTTCAAAGCGCTGTACACAAATCAAGATTACTTCAAGAAAATCAATATTACTAATGGAATTAACATTACTTAAATTACCAAGAAAATCAAATATTACTAACATAACTTAAAGGTAATACAAAGTTTTGGGGAAATTTTGAAAATTGGGTGGATAGTGAATCTTTACAATTTTGATATATTTGGATGCCCTTGGGGATGAATTATAAGCACTAAAAAAATTAGCCCCTAAAACACTTCTGTTTTCGAGAAATTTACCGGTGCTCCAGGTAAATTTTGATGAATTTCAAATAGCGCCTATGGCCGTACAATGGTAGCTGCGACCATGAAAATCTCAGAATATGTAGTTGTGATATATAATTTCCAAACGGAAATAGCTAATCGGTCGATTTTAGTCAAGAAACATTGTTTCATAGCTAAATTAATATCTTGACCTTGAGAGGGAGCTATACAACATAAAGAGTTTATTATTTATTATTTCATAACTTTAGACTCAATTTCAACCGCGACAACGATCAATGAATATTGTAGGAACGCATATGCTTCCAATATGTTAATTTGAACCAAATTCATGACCCCCCCCATACCAAAACTTTGTAATACCTTTAACAAATTAACATCACTTAAATTACCAAGAAGTTCAAACTTTACTAATATTACTAAAGAAATTAACATAACATGTAAATTCATTGGAAAGTTAACATATTATATCATTATATTAATAATAGCAACACTTTAAAAAGACATAATGGAGGCATTGTAATACTAATTCAAAATTATGTTATAGTTATTTGGGTTGTTTTTAAATAGATGAGTTTTTAGATTTGTTTGGAAAATGTCAATGGTGGGTGAGTCCTGGATATGGGCGGGGAGAGTGTTCCAAATAGTGGGGGCACAGACTGAGAAGGCCCTGTCACCATAGCGGTTGTGGGTACGAGGACCAGGGGCGAGCTAGGGGTATGGATGATGATCTACGGTTCCTGCCAGTAGTCTGTTTTGGGTGAGATCAGTTCATATATACATGTATATCTTATCTTATTTGTATGCTTCGTACATGTCTATTGCATGATATGATTGTACATGATTTTCTATTTTATTACTTTTGTCACCATTTTATTCATTGCATTTGTTATTGTTCAAATGTTAGTACTTTGAATTTGAATGTGTATCTTTTCAAACGCAGAAATTAAATTAAATAAACAAACAAACAAACAAACAAACTATGTCTAATAACTGTTCTTCTTTCGCTATTCTATTAAGAAGGCTGGGACAAACATCCCCGTACCCCCGTAACTAGGCCATTGTCGATATGATATGCATAGTGACGTATTTTTGTTTTAATGACGAATTTCCTCTAAAAATATCAAGTAAATAGATTTAATTTTGATTGAAAACAAACACTATTGGGGCATTGTAAGAAAGTTGTAATCAATTGTTAAAACCCCAAAATCAAGCGTATGTCTAGCGAATAATTGCAAATTTGCAATTGATCGCAGCTCAGCTTTCTTGCAACGCCCCATTAGTAAGAGAGATAGAGAGAGAGAGAGAGAGAGAGAGAGAGAGAGAGAGAGAGAGAGAGAGAGAAGGAAAACAAAAGCTAGATTTTTTTTTGAATTGAATTGGTTTGGTTTATTGAGAAATCACATCAAACAAGCAGCTCGCAGGCTGAAAATGTTCGATTTACAAACAAGTTAAAAATATAGAGAGATATAAACATATACAAGACTAAAATTCATATTGTAAGTCATTGTAAGATGAAATCGAAATCGCAAAACAAAGTTATACAGTAATGTAATAATATACTTTCATGTTGAAGAACCAAGACGGTGGGAAGGAGAGAATGGAGAAGAAAAAAGGAAGTTGTTTGACCGAAAGAGTTGAGAAAGTATTTAACAATTGCTAAACAAACATTTCTATTACAAAAAATGAAATTAAGCATTAAAAAAAAAAACCTATGTGATGGGATGAAATTAAACCGTAAAAGTCAAAATGACAGTCTCTATTCCGTTTTCCCCTTTAATATAAATGTAATGACAGCATTAAGAGATCTAGTTAGCTTAACTTAATTATTAAAACTTTAATCCTAACAAAATCCTATAGGAAATTTAGGAGACTAGTGGGGGCATTGCAAGAAAGTAGAGTTGCAATCAATCGCAACTTTCTTGCAACACCCCCATATGTCTTCCTTCTCCTGAATGTTCAATAGACGCACATGATTGATGTGATCTAAATAAAAATCGCATTCTGCAATGAAATATAATAAAAAATGTTCTCAAACAGAGAAGACAACGCAATGAATCATTATCTCTCTCAGTATCCCCTGGGGGAGTGCACGGGCGTTTACGTCAGCTAATCTTCCATTGCCCCAGATGAAGTCGACCCATCTCTTACATGAACGTCTTGATTCCTCCTGTTTGTCGCTGTCCAAACAGTTGCCAATTTAACTAACTTACCTACTTTGTAAACTTATTTCGTTCTTGTAATATAGCGCGTATATGTCGTGGTATAGTGGTTTATTCAGTTGACTCTCAGTCCAACGATTGAGGTTTCCTATCAGTCCTTGGCCTTAGCCCTAGCATCGCGACCAGTGTAAAGTGCCATTTAAAGAAAAAAAACTACATCAAAGGGAAAGGGAGAACGGGAAAGAGAGAAGGGGATAGGGAGAAAAGGGGAAGGAAAACGGGTAAAGGGAGAAGGGGAAGGGAGAAAGGGGGAAGAGGGAAGGGAAAAGGGAAGAGAGAACGGGAAAGGGAGAAGGGGAAGGGAGAAGGGGAAAGGAAGAAGGGGAAAGTGAGAAAGGAGAAAGAGAGAACGGAAAAGTGAATGGTGAAGGTGAAAGGGAGAAGGTGAAAGGGAGGAGGGGAAAGGGAGGAGGGGAAAGGGGAAAAGGGAAAGGGGAAATGGAGTAAAGGAACGGGAGAAGGGGGAGGGAAAGGGGAAAGAGAGGGAAGGAAAGGGAGAAGTGGAAAGGGAAAGGGGAAGAGAGAAGGGAAAGGGGAAAAGAGAACGGGAAAGGGAGAAAGAGAGAAGGGAAATGTGAATGGTGAAGGGGAAATGGAGAAGGGGAAAGGGAGGAGGGGGAGGGAGGAGGGGAAAGGGCGAAGGGAAAGGGGAGAAGGGGAACGGGAGAAGGGGAAGGGAGAAGTGGAAAGGGAAAAGGGAAAGGGAGAAAGGGAGATGGGGAAATGGAGAAGGGGAAAGGGGAAAGGAAGAAGGGGAAAGGGAGAAGGGAAAGGGAGAAGGGGAAAGAGGAAATGGAGAAAGGAAGAAGGGGAAAGGGAGAAAGTGATAGGGGAAGGGGAATAGGACAAAAATAGAAGACACCGGGACCATGCACTTCTCGCACACATCCCATTCAGTAGCCTTGTAAGTTAGCACTTCATTTACCGAGTAAGACTGGTGCCCCCTATCATACGTTCCACCCCCTTATTTGTGTGGATTCACGCTACGGCTCCGGTATGAAAGGGGGTTGGGTAACCGGATCCTCATCCCGGGGGATGCTGAGAGACACACTTCGGAAGAATCCACGGAACCCGCGGCCTGCAAACCTACTTTCGTTGGACTCGAACTGGATACTCATCTTCTCAGCAAGTGAGACGTACGAACCGATCGGAGCATTGTGACCGGTCAGGATGAGCCTGATGCAAAGTTAAGGAGGAAGGGGTTAAGTTGTTATCTTCCATTTCAAAGTACGAACCGATCGGGGCATCGTGACCGGTCAGAATGAGCCTGATGCAAAGTTAAGGAGAAAGGGATTAAGTTGTTATCTTCCATTTCAAAATACGAACCGATCGGAACATTGTGACCGGTCAGAATGAGCCTGGTGCAAAGTTAAGGAGGAAGGGGTTAAGTTGTTATCTTCCATTTCAAAGTACGAACCGATCGGGGCATCGTGACCGGTCAGAATGAGCCTGATACAAAGTTAAGGAGGAAGGGGTTAAGTTGTTATCTTCCATTTCAAAGTACGAACCGATCGGGGCATCGTGACCGGTCAGAATGAGCCTGATACAAAGTTAAGTTGTTATCTTCCATTTCAAAGTACGAACCGATCGGGGCATCGTGACCGGTCAGAATGAGCCTGATACAAAATAAAGGAGGAAGGGGTTAAGTTGTTATCTTCCATTTTAAACAGGATCGCCGATCGCAAAGACTTTCAACAAATCGGCCCAATTGCAATTTCAGTACTATGTTTTGAAACGTCAGGAAATGACAGTGTAACGTATTACGTCATCAGAACATGATTTCTGACAAGATGTTAATCTAACTTTTGCCAACTCCACCCATGTGATTGAAATGGGTACCCGTAGGACGAAATTCCACGAATGCCAGAGCGTTTTATCAGCGTAGCTCGGCTAATTTCGGGGTAATATTAGTACAGCGCTTAGAAACATTAACATTTAGCACAATGTAATATTATTACTTTTTATCAATTTTACTATCATTATTATTATCATTGTTATTATAACTTCTATATGACATACTAGATTATATACCTCACTTAAGAAATCCAGCCATCTGATTGGTCGAAATTGTATTCATAAACTTTAACTATTCCTGTAAAATTCCCGGTAAAATTCCAAACCCAGGTAATAGTTTTTAAAAAATAGTTCTAAAATCCCAGTTACCATGGTTACCGGGAAAATAGTTCTAAAAATTAGTTCTTAAATCCCAGTAACCATGGTTACCCATAAGTTTACATGTTAAAAATGGTTTGAGCGATCGCGGATACCGTACGTGTGCGAAGAATTGGTCGGCACTTTTAGTACGGCAATATATCTCGATTCAAACAAGGCAAAAATGGCTGTAGAAACTTTCCCAAGATTTCAACTTCTGGATGAGGATCAAATGCGAGACATGCTGACAGCAAGAACACCAAAAAGGGTACGCGAAATCTTCCATAATTTTTTTTTCAGTAGGCCTAGATCTAGATTCTAGTACGCGACAACCAGATGCTGGTGATTGTAGTGATTTGTACGTCACGGACAGATGCAGATCTTTCCTGTAGAGATTACACACATAGTACACCTCCCTATGCATTTCCATTGGCCATTGCGCACTCGATCATGCTAGATTGGTTGATGTTTTAATTACCAGTGATTCAAACTAATATTGCTCGTGATCCTGAAGGTGATACTCAATAAGTGAGGTGTCATATGAAAGCGCAGGTTTTTCTCCATATTCCCCACAGGGCCGGCCCACCCCTAAAATTGTAAAAATATCTTGCTTAGACTAGAATCTAGATCTAGTCTACTCTCAAAGAAACACTCATAAAAAACAACCGTGCAGATAAACTAGAGAAAGGCCAAGGTGGTGTCATAAATTTTTCGGCATATAAAAGTATTAATGACTGCTTTAATATTCGAGAAATAGTTGTTTTTATACGCTGTCGGGAAGGTTAGAATTGTGCTATTGCCCGAGGCGTGCCTCGGGCAATAGCACAATTCTAACCTTCCCTTGAGTGTATAAAAACAACTATTTCTCTCAAAGCAGTCATTAATACTATAATATAGAACATGCCCTTCAGTTTATTTCTCGAAGGTCTCTACGATCGTGTTTTAAATAGAAGAGAAGAAAACTTGAAATGGATTCAACTTCGGACTGTTACAGTTCTTTTTTTTCTCTTATTTCCTTTATTTTTAAGATCTTATTTTTAATTGATGATCAAAGTCTTTTAATTGTGGCAGAGCTTGTGTAAAAAGAAAATTTAGACTTACATATTCGGATCTGAATAAACTAATAGATGCATATTTGTCGCAACACATTGATTTTTCGTTTAAATAAGAGATTTCGACCTTTTAAAATAAAATTCATCAACATACATGTATGCAGGATGACATATTTAGTTTCTGTAATCATTATTGATGCATTTTAAGCCCGTTTCATATGAGGTTTCATTTCACTCTATGCTAATTGACTGGTCGATCAAACAGAAAGCGCTTGCTTCTGTAAACATAAAAGAATCAACCCCAAAATTGATGATGGCTGTAAACGAGCAGTCAACCCAGTGTTAAAAACTCCCCAGTGCCCCCAAAATGGTGGTTTCAATGATTGGTGTCGGCACTATTCTGTCGACGAAGGACCTTAACCCTGCGGTAGGCAACCGCACCTCTGTGTCAACTACCTGGAAACCGCGTCTGCGTCTTTCCTGCTAAAGTGCATGCCTGAATGCAATTGATGCTACGGTGAAATTGACACCTCGTATGCAATGGCTACAGAAATTTGGACAAATATGACAGCTTATGAATTTACAACATACTACTTAATTCCTTTGGGGTTATATACAGAAGAAGCGTTGAGCTGTGACTTGCCTTATTGGTTGTGAGCCGCCAATATCGATGGAGATGGTGTCTTCTTCTTCGATCTGAAAGATTCGTGCGAAGTTAAGCTCCACGTGTAAGCCTGGCGATGCAGTGATCTCATACTGACAGCACATCCTTCTTCGATAGGCCTGAGGGTATCTCGGTGACTGAATAAAACCTTTGTCTTGGTCCGTCGTACTTTGGCAGTAACTAATAGTGGATCCTTCTACATCCGGGTTCGAAGAGTTTATAGCGATTTCAACAGCTCGGTAGGTCGCAGAAAAACTGGCGTTTTCCTGGGAACCCTGTACAGCAAATATGATCTTCATCGTATTGGTGGCAGAGATGATTTCCTCCTTAGGGACGCATTGGTTACAAAATCTGAAATTGGGATTGCGGGAGATAATAAAAGACATTTTAAGTTTCATTTGGAGTCAGTCACTCCGAGACTGTTACATTACAAACAGTTGCAGACTTTCAACGTTTCGTTGTCTATCTCGGCTCGAATCTCATATAACATTCTTAGAATTAATTTACCTTAAAATACAGTCCATCCCTACTTAACATGTTTCTTGCCTCATCAAACTATGTCACTTGTGGTTGTAAAGCCCTGTAGTTTGTTCTAGTTAACTAAATTTGAGGTCTAAATCTTGGAAATTTTCATAATATGCCATGCAGTCGCCATTGTTGAGGAATTTATCTTGTAGTGGAATAATTCATTCATGATCACATGACGAGCTCTTGACCAATCCGTGAACAAGATATATTTTATGAGGGATATATAATTACAATCATTAGTAATCCTGGAGATAATGACTGGAAAGAGATCATCCACCATTGTCCCAGGAGACAGTGGTCTAGATTATCTCATTCTGGATAATCGTCCTAGGAGCATTTTGGGGAAATTCAAAACGTAAGATGATTTAAATGGAAACTGTAAATAATGTCTTTGGACTTACTGAATAGGGGTCGAGGTGCCATCTCCTAAGTATACCTCTATACTGTTTACGGAGCAGTACCCGTTCTCTACATCGAATGACTGCATGGTCAGGGCAACCCGTTGCCCTTGTGGCACATTGATCTCATATGTGCAATGCGTATCGTTCGGGGATTCACTGACGTAATTGGTGATCTCACCAACTGAATTGCTGAATGACACATTGCAGCTTTCCATTGCCATTGGCATTGGCTTGGTGTGTATGGTGTACATCAAAGAGAATCCCTTGTCCTGGATGGTGGAATCTGACTTAAACACGATCCTTATCTCATTGCTGATGCTGTCGAAGGCTGATGGACCAACTGAGCCGCAACTCGTCGTGTTGGCCAGAGCTGTATCCGCCAAGAAGATATCCAGGTAATCATTTGTGCAAGCTGTGTTTCCAGGTTGCAGGTTGAAATCAGTAAATTGCACACTGATATTTGATTCAGCTGGCCCCTTAAAAAAGCCAACATAGAAATAGGGCCTGCATTAGTACATTGTAGTAGTATATTAGTAGGTCTACATAACGACATTTTAAAACTAAACACTAGTACTTTGGTACACTTTTTTTTCCCGTATCCGGACACCAACCCCCCTGGACATCCACCCCCAGATAATCACCCCCAGTCAACTAAACCCCCAGGACAATTATCTCATGGACAACTACCCCCAGACAACTAACCCCTGAGACAACTACCACGGACAACAACCCACGGACAACTACCCCCGGACAACTACCACGGACAACTACCCCCGGACAACTTTTGGGCATCTCCAGTTCGTCCGCCATGAACAGGAAATTCAAAATGATACAGAAAATCATTTCCATAAAGGTAGTTGTCCCGGGGGTAGTTGTCCTAGAGGATGGTTGTCTTAGGGGGTAATTGTCTGGGGGTAGTTGTCCGGGGGTAGTTGTCCTAGGGGTAATTGTCCAGGGGGTAGTTGTCTGGGAGTGTTTATCCAGGGGGTAGAACCCTTTTTCCAACCGGGTGCCGCGAGAGAAGTTCATTAAAGATCTATTTTCGGATCTATTATGGATTAAACATCACTTTCGTGAAAGCAAAAAGTTAGAAACCGCTGTGTATTTTTCTGAAGAAAAAAACATTAAAAAAACAATTAAGAATCTTTTTTCCTCGCTCGCACGCAACAGTAAGAAACGGGACGATTTCAGGCAATGAAGTGCCTGAATGCCCACATAATCAATCAACGAGGTGCCAGAATGTCTCTTTCACAGCGAGGTTCCCGAATATTGCCACATTCGGGCAGCAAGGTGCCCGAAATATATCATATTTAGTATATCGAAATATATTTTCACCACGCTTGTTGGCTTCATCAAGTCATCAGATATGATTTTTTTTTCTTCACAATTAGATGTTCTTAACCCATTGAAAAAGACGGAGAATTCCCCTAACTCCAGTCTTAAAGAATGTTAAAGTCCACCGCGCACTATAGCTATACAGTGCGTCCCACGAAACCGAGAATTATCGATGTTTTATCATAACTTTATCACAATTATAATTGATAAATGACACAGATTTGTAAAGCTTAGATCCCCTCTTTCATTTGGTGCAACTCATATAATGCATATTTCACGCATGAGTGCTTAAAATCAATATGAAGAGAGGAAAACAAAAAGTCATTTGGCGGACGATATCTGAATTTCAAAGAGATATCACATTTCTAGAAAGTTGAGTTTCTGCCCTTTTATATAAACACCTCAGTCAGGAAAAATGAGCTAGGAATAACAAAGTTCTGTTTGTTTAAAGTAGTGCTTGCATTTCCATAATGTTATTAAACGAATTCGTTTTCACTCGCTGCCTGCCGTATCAACAAACGAAATTAACAAAAGACTTAACTCCGTTTCGTTGACAATTAGCCGTAGACGAAAGACTCCATGCATGTCTGATTGTCAACGAAATGGAGTTACGTCTTTTGTCAATTCTGCTTTTTGCTACGGTGAAAACGAATTTGTTTAATAAAATTATGGAAATGCAAGGGCTACTTTAAACATCAGTGGCTCTTAGCTTTATGGCCTACAGTCCATCTGAAGGACGTGGACCGTATTAAAAGAAACGGATATCCGTCTTACCGTAATAATGTATTGGCAAATTGTATCCGGATCATAGTTCGACGGATAATTAGGTGAGAAGATGGTCCCTGTCAGCCCATCGTCTATTGTGAATATTTGTATGCAACCTTAATCAAAGACATAGATATACTATAATGTAATGGAACATTCTCAATAAATGTTAAAGGTGCAGGGTTTGGTTTATTTCGTATTTCACAGTTCACGTTACACATTGATTCATGCATGGGTATTTCCAATGAAATCAAGAACACAAAATATATTACTTCACTTTAGTTTGCTTATAGTTGTAAAATAAGAACTAGGTAAAATTTGACAAGAGGGTTTGAAGGAGTCCCTATAAGTATGCTATTTCAGTTTTGATATGGACAAGTATTTCAATGTAACTAGAAATGGGGCCAGTCACCACGAAATGAGTCCAGTTTCGCATTAGGCTCAATCGTAGTAATAGCGATGTATAGTGTGTATGTACTGAACATTGACCCACCTACCACATTTAAGATTTTTCCAAAAATCGACTTATTAATGTCTTGTAGTTTATGTCCCCAGAGCTTAGGTCACGAAAATATCTCCTTCTTACATTTTTTGGCAAATAATATAGGCTATGTAATCTGAAATTATCACGAAAATGATGCATTTTTAAAAACTGGGTAATCCCATTGTTTATAAAGTCCAATTAGGTTTTTGTTCATATTTCTGGATATAATTTATAAATTTTAATGTGTGACCCCTTAATTTAAAGCTTACTTAATGTAGATTCATATAATACTTAAAAACAGGAATAAAATTTTTGACCAACTGGACTCATTTCGTGGTGACAGGCCCCAAATATCGCAATCTGTATTGCCGCGCAAAGCAAACTGTATATCCCCCCGGCAGTGGCAGCGATTTTTGTGTCATCCTATTATGTTCGAAGGATGAACAAATATCCCCTCTTCCCTCCCTGAAACGAAAGAATGACTATTGTCAAGACTAGGAGCAGCGTCACCCAAAAAATATGCGTGTAGATTAGAGCATAATGCATCTCTTTAGAAAATTTGAAAGAAATCTTTCAAGGAATGTAGCAGTTATAGAGCGCACAAAAGACAGCCACCAAAATAATGCAATTTGGACCATATAACAGACGGAACACAGGTGGCAGCATCACAACACTAAAGATGTGTAGATTTTACTGAGACACACCTCGATACAAAATTTGAAAGAAACTCGTCAAAAAATGTGGCAGGTCGCCCCAAAGTGTAGATCTGTAGATTGTACCAAGATACATCTCCATACAAAATCTGAAAGAAATCCGTCAGAAAATATGACCTACAGAGCGCACACTATAGACACCCACCAAAATATGACCTTTGACCCTATAACTGACGAATACAGGTGGCAGCATCACCAAACTCTAAATATGTGTAGATTTGATCAAGATACGCCTCTATACAAAATTTGAAAGAAATCCTTCCAGAAATGTGGCAGTAAAGGCGCACACAAGGATAGGGACCTTGGACCCTATAAAGGATGAAACAATGAGGGCACACAAGACATCTATCAAAATATGACCTTTGACCATATAAAAACGGAACACTGGAGGCAGCTTCACCAACAAAATTTAAAGGTGTGTTGATACCAAGATACACCTCCACACAAAATTTGTCCAAAATCCCTTGAGAAATGTGGCATATAGAGCACACACAAATCATCCACAAAAATATGGCTTTTTACCCTATAGAAGATGGAATACTGGAGGCAGCATCACCAAAAATGATAGGTGTAAAGATTATACCAAGACACACCTCAAAACAAAATTTGAAGAAATCCGTCAAGGAATATGGCAGTTATGACGCAGCGGACGCGGACGCAGCGGCGGCGGCGGCGGCGGCGGCGGCGTAACGCTGCTGAATCCAAAGTACACCTTCGGCATAATGCCGGGGGATACAATTATCAATGTTTACATCCTTTGTTCTAAAAGATACCATAAAGGATAAATACATTGCAAACATAATTTTCAGAAATTTTTCTTTCAGAACTGACTTCTTGAATATCGCCCAAAAGTCGAATGTTCAACATCCACAGTACCCCCACCCTCCTACTCTCTGCCTGAGCTTCTTTTACGAAGATTCCAAGCAATATTGTACAATTGATTTGGTTTGATCTTTTGTTAGTTTGTTGGTATTATGAAAATAACAAAAGGGAAGAGTCTTACGTGGAACATAGTCAGGATTCTCCATGTCACAATTGGTACCCATATACTGCGGTTTGCAAGCGCACTCGCAAGTCGGCAATAGGTACCCCTCGTGTAGGCAAACAATCGGCATCAGACAGACTTCGGCAGCTAGAGCTGGGCACCCGTAGGCCACATTGAGCTTCTGAAGATCATAAAATGTAGGCGCAACGCGATTCCCCATATACGGCATCTCCAGTGGGTTGAGCGCTATGATGGTCTGCTCAACTCCATCTATAGAAGCATACTAAAGTAACGAGAAGTGAAAGCAATCACATGGTTGTTAAATTATTTAAGTGAATGATAGAGCCACCTATGCAGTGCGGTATGGTATGTAATCCCGTAGGATTTTTTGCCAAAATTGATTTTTGTTTTGTTGCTGTTTTGGCTTCAAAAGGGTCCCAATTGGCCAAAATGATGGGGTTCAAATTTTCAGAACCCTCCTTCATTTCCTGGGGGTCCATATTGGGCGCCAAAATGGCTGATATAAAGCGCAATAGGGAAATTTGGTGTCTTCGGGAAAATTTGAGCCCCATCAATTTCTGATAGCTTGGACCCCAATGAATCCAAAAATGCAAAAAACAAACAAACAAACAAACAAACAATTTTTTGGCACAAAAGTCCTACGGGAGCTGTTTTAGTGACATATCGTACCACACTAATACACATAGTTTGAGTTGGTGGCAGCATATCGTATGGTATTTTGTTTCGTGCTTGTCCAACAAAGCAATAATCGCCATAATTGTGCCCAAACTCGAACCAGGTTGGCTAAATTCTCCCAATCTTCTTAAAGCTCATCTTGAGCTCTGTTATGGGAATCGTCTGTCGACAGAACATGGCTATAGTTCATTCTGCATTTTTTTAATCTGGAGTAGATGAATTGTTTAAACCAGTAAAATAAAAACAAACTCGCTGGAAATCATCGCCAACAACTCTCATTTGCACATTATAGTGACATGTGTTAAAGCCCCTATATAGAAAACTTCCCCAATCGGTGCCTATTGGTCCCCCGTGATCCTCTTTTTCTTATGTTAGTTGAGAGCTGAGTTAATGAGAAAGCCACCTGTCAGTGACCTCGCTGTGTGGTCTAATCCCTTCTGGCCCAGTAGTATTGACGGTCTTTAAGCACATGGTGTTGGGCCTACCTACCTTGACTTCCTTATCTTCCTTTGCTCATATACCCGTTTGGCACATGACATTTATTTGTAATCTTGAACATTCAGTGTAAGTTTTGTTGGATTCTGTGAGAATTTATCATCTATCATTAACAGAAATCAAGCTTATCTTTAACTGGTGAATGACAGAGTGAATGAGTAGAATGAGCGCTATCTACGTCGGATAGAACAGAGGGCTTTTACAAACAAAATTATTTAATACATCCAGAACTAGACTACTCCCAAAACAAGGTGAAGTTTAACGATGCAAAATTTACCCGCCGATCTCGAATTAACATATTTACAAAATTAAAAATGCAACAAATATTTCTACTATTTCCCCTATTTACATAGGAAGTTGAGTCCTGAATTTTCTTATGAGGTATCCAGTATCCGGGGCCTAGTGGTTAGGGCATTGGAGTTCCAAGCCAGGGACCCATTCAGATTTGATTCCTGGCGGAGACATTTTATCAACCTTTGCAAACATTTCCAAAAGGGAGGATAGCAATGGGGATTTAAGATACGTAAACAATATTCTCTCATATCCTTTCGCAATGCACATGTATTTATTGCCGAGAGAGTAGCCAAAGCTGATAAACATATTATTTCATTGCACTCATTTAGGAACAAACTGATAGATAAGAAGAGAAAAATTAGAAAAGTAAAATACTTACAGTGCTGCTACCGTGCATGATGGATGAATAGTCATACGGAATGCCGAACGTTTGTCCATTAACTTTGTTCAAGTTTCCCTGCCTGCCGGCTAATACATTCGCAATTTCTATTCGAATATAGTTATCTCGATCAGCCCGTTGTTCTTCGTTATAAAACCCGAGTGCGTGATAGATTTGGCGAGAGATTTCCCCTAACTGTCAATTAATTGTAGAAATAGTTACATGTCGTTTTTCAGAAGGGATTTATTTCCGAACTTCAAGGTTTGTAATTCCGGAAATTAAATAGGGTTCATTATTCCGAAATGGCATAGAACACTGTATCGTTTCGGGGAATTACGAACCCTACTTCATTTTCGGACCTATATACGAACCTTCGGGAAAATGAACCTTCAGACAAATGAGTGTCTCCCGTTTACAGGGTTTGCTTTGATTTAATGATTTCTATATCATTTTGTCTAATTTTCCATTTTGATAATTTACATTGATACACCTTTCCAATACAGTACATGACATATACAAAATGTAAAAAAGAAAGGAAAAATAAGTTACACGCTCAATGCATAACTAATATGAATTAAATAAGCATGATATAACAAGGCCATAGTATTAGCATTAAGCTAGACGTGCTTGTAGAAAAGAGAAAGGGGAGAAGGTCAATTTTTATAAATAAAGATAGTAAAAGGGGAAGAACGCTGATTTCTAAATACAACGATAGTAGCACCTGTCGATATAATAATAAAGTTAATGATGGGTTGCACTCAATTCAATATTCGAATTAAGTAAAATATTAACATGAGCGCAGGCTTCCATGAAATCAACTCAAGGACAATATCAACACTCTATTGCATTGCCTATATCAAGTTCGGATTATGTTTCCAGGTCTCGGTACAATTTTTATGCCGCACAAGGCTACTCTACTGAAATTGCCTTAGGTTGATTTGTTAGCCTTTGCAATAAAAGAATAATATCAATTCTTGTTAACCAAGGGAATCCTCGTCATTTACACTGTCTTCCAAACACGCCAAAAAATGCCAAACCGGAGCCTGACCGAGATGTTACCAAGGGCAACTACGCTTTACCGGCAGAAATGCCAAGCCCGAAACATTCCAAAACGAAGTGTGATCTTTTGGCGTGTTTTGGCGTGTTTGGCAAGTATAAACGCTCGCAGTTGTAACATCGCGATGTTAGGTCACGTGACTTTAGGAGCGATCGAGCTAGCTTTCGTCCTTGAAGAAAATGATAGAACGATGTAAACAAAGAATAACATAAGAGAAGGTGATAGAAGGAAGAAACACTAAAATAACATAAGGAAACACAGAAAGAGGAAGTGATAGAATGATACAAAACAAAGAATAACATAAGAGAAGGTGATAGAAGGAAGAAACAAAAAATAACATAAGGAAACACAAAAAGAGAAAGTGATAAAAGGAAGAAACAAAGAATAACATAAGGAAACACAGAAAGAGGAAGTGATAGAATGAAACAAAACAAAGAATAACATAAGGAAAGACAGAAAGAGAAAGTGATAGCATGATAAAAAAATATTAAAAAACATAAGAGAAGGTGATAGAAGGAATAAATAAAGAATAACATAAGAAAACACAAAAGAGGAAGTGATAGAAGGAAGACACAAAGAATAACATAAGGAAACACAGAAAGAGAAAGTGATAGAAGGAAGTGATAAAGAATAACATAAGAGAAGGTGATAGAAGGAAAACAAAGAATAACATAAGAAAAGACAGAAAGAGGAAAGTTTTTGCATCGGAGTGCCGCGCATGCTTTATCAACTAAAACACGCCAAAACTTCACTGAGCTTTTCAGTCGGTGATGTTTCCGCACAAGTGTAAACGGGTGCGCGAAACATCGCGACTTTTCAGAATGAGGTCGGCGCATTTATACTGTCAAATACCTCATTTTGAAAAGTCGCGATGTTTCGCGCACCCGTTTACACTTGTGCGGAAACATCACCGACTGAAAAGCTCAGTGATGTTTTGGCGTGTTTTAGTTGGTAATGCGCATGCGCGGCACTCCGATGCAAAAACTTTCCTCTTTCTGTCTTTCCTTATGTTATTCTTTGTTTTTCCTTCTAGCACCTTCTCTAATGTTATTCTTTGTCACTTCCTTCTATCACTTTCTCTTTCTGTGTTTCCTTATGTTATTCTTTGTGTCTTCCTTCTATCACTTCCTCCTTTGTGTTTCCTTATGTTATTCTTTATTTATTCCTTCTATTACCTTCTCTTATGTTATGCTTTTTTTATTTTATCATTCTATCACTTTCTCTTTCTGTCTTTCCTTATGTTGTTTTTTGTTTCTTCCTTCTATCACTTTCTCTTTCTGTGTTTCCTTATGTTATTCTTTGTTTCTTCCTTCTGTATCACCTTCTCTTATGTTATTCTTTGTTTTTTTAATCATTCTATCACTTCCTCTTTCTGTGTTTTCTTATGTTATTCTTTGTTTCTTCCTTCTATCACCTTCTCTTATGTTATTCTTTGTTTTTTATCATTCTATCACTTCCTCTTTCTGTGTTTCCTTATGTTATTCTTTGTTTCTTCCTTCTATTACCTTCTCTTATGTTATTCTTTTTTATTTTTTATCATTCTATCACTTCCTCTTTCTGTGTTTCCTTCTGTTATTCTTTGTTTCTTCCTTCTATCACCTTCTCTTATGTTATTCTTTGTTTACATCGTTCTATCATTTTCTTCAAGGACGGCAGCTAGCTCCACTCCTAAAGTCAAGTGACCTAACATCGCGATGTTACAACTGCGAGCGTTCATACTTGCCAAACACGCCAAAACACGCCAAAAGATCACACTTCGTTTTGGAATGTTTCGGGCTTGGCATGTCTGCCGGTAAAGCGTAGTTGCCCTTGGTAACATCGCGGTCAGGCTCCGGTTTGGCATTTTTGGGCGTATTTGGAACACAGTGTAAATGCCCTCCCAAGGACCTTGAAGTAATCTTAACTAGCAATTGCGAGGTACCCATACACACCGGGGTGCATGAGAGTGGCAAATATGGTTTAATGTCTTGTCAAAGAACATTACTGCATGCCGGGCTGGGATTCGAACCCTCAACCCTTGGAATGAGAGTCAATTGAATGAACCACTAAACCACGACACCACCACCATCGTCATCATTTACTGAGCGTTCAACATAATTAGGTTGGTTTATCAAAGGCTTATTTAGAGAACTTTTATAACATTTCTTTACATTTGTATAATATATACTGTTTCCACTATTCAGATTTCATATTCTTAGCATCTTAAGCCAATGTTATTTATAACAAATGTTAAATATGTTAGTAGACATACTTGACAAAAGTAAAATACATGTGCAGATGTTTTAGATCGACTACCGCTGTTTGAAAAAGAAAATCTATGCGTTATGGACAGATGTGAGAACACAAAACTTATTTGATGTAATAGGTATTTCTGTACATTGAAAAAAATGCCAAATTCAGCCAATGGCTGCGATGCAAATCAAAGTTTTTAGGCAATTGACTAAGCGTTGTATCAGCTTTCTTTTGACTTGAGCCTTGTAAAAAAATATCATTAAATTTCCTTTTCTCAAGTAATTTTCCCTTAGGACACTACTCAATAATAACAAATTCATTATAGGTCCTCTAAAAAGAAAATCCCGTACAAAGTCAATAATTTTGAAAAGCTGATATTTGAGTCATTTTGTGGGTTTGAAGCTCACATATAAGTATCATGAAGTATTTTTTTTATTTCTTCAAATAATTTTGTCGGATATCCTTCAAACTTTCACCAATCCGTTTCTCTGATTTTTCAGCTTTTATAGTCAGCAGTTTGTTATTCAGGTTGGATTTTCGTTTAAGCGTATGGACTGTATTTCAGTAAAATCAATGCCCGCACAAGCTAATTTTCATCATGCGGGAGGGGGCAAATTTCCACTTTTCCCCCTTTGTAAAGTGCCCAATCTTTAAGCCCATGAATAACTTACATTTCTGCAGCCTGTCGCGAGAGATATTGGTTGCGGTTGCAAATGCGACGGTACTCTTCCAACATATGAAGAGCATCTGAAATGAAGATATTCAAAATAGCCTATAAACATGAAAAACAGGAAAGACAGAAACGAGAAGAAGAAAACAAGTCGGGGTAAAATATGGATTCTAAGTATAAATTAATTTTATCCACAATAAACTTCTCCCTTTTTTTCTCTCTCTCTCTCTTTATCTGTCTTTCTCTTTCTCTATCTATCTCCTCTCTCTCCCTCCCTCCCCCTCTCTCTCTTACTTTCTATGTCCTTTTCTCTTTCTCTCTCAAGGGGTCGGGCTAACTCGGCGTTTGGGTGAACTCGGCATCACTCGGCGATATAAGGTTTTGGAAGTGGAAGGCACACACCAAACCTCTAAAAGACCATGCATGGATTCCATGATGTTCTGTAGAATTGTACCTCCCGAAATTTTAAGCGATACTTTTTTATTTTACCATTTTACACATTCCTATCAAAAGATCTTGAATGTGGGTGCTCTGGACACGTAATTATTGCTAAAATACATTCGTTGTATTGCGATTGAGGGGGGGGGGGGGTGGGTAAGAGCACTTTTTTTTGTCCCTAAATTTGAAAATTTGACCGATCGACATTTCGTTCCGTTGGGGGTAAGGACACCTTTTTTAGGTCACCCATTAGCATATTTTTTTTTTTTTTAATTAATTAAAAAAAAAAAAATAGAAATTAGGAGGGGGAAGGGTAATTTCCTCCAAAACACACACACAATTTTGTTTAGGGGTGGTTCGACCCCCCCCCCCCTACGTACGCGCCTGATTCCCCACTACCACCACCACCATGAGAATTCAAAAAGTTGCCAATATTCGTACTCTAAGGCCGTCCCTTTGTAGTTTTAATCGTTTTGATGACAGAGTGTCAATCTATTTGTTCTCTGCTCGCCAAATTTAAAAACGTACGCCTATAATTCTATTTAAAGATCAACATCAGTATTCCCTTAGTATCATATCCCCATCATCATCATCATCATTATTATCTTCATTATCATCCAT